TTTCCATAGAGACAATGTTGTTGAATTACATTGAAAAAAGTTTTTACAAAATTTCTAATTTTTAATCAAATAAAGTGTGACAAAACTATAAGACATCATGTATTTTAGGCAAGAAAAAGTTGTGAGAAGTTAATGAAAAAAATTTTTTCTAGTTATTAATATTGTGTTGTGCCACCTTTATTTTTTATGGTTTCAATTAATCGCCGTAGTATCGATTTATATAAATTTTTTATTTGATCTTGACTTAATTTGGCCCATTGTTCTTGAATACAAGTTTTCAAATCTTCTCCACTCTTTTCAACTCTTTAGCACGTGCTACAATTCCCCAGATGCTTTCTATTATATTTAAATCTGGACACCACGCAGGCCATGGTAAAATTTGTATATTACGGTCTTCAAAATATTGTTTTACACATAAAAAATATAATTTACACATGGAATAGAGCTGGCATGTCGCGATAATTGTTCATCTATTATTTCTATATATTTAACTGCATTCATGTTAGTATTAATAAATTTGATATCCGTTCTTCCGTGGTACCCTATTGTGGCCCATACCATAATGCCGCCTCCGCCTCCTTTGCCTTCTTGAAAAATGCAATTCTTTCTTCCGCAAATCGTGAAAAAAATACGAAAGACTATCCGGTCCGTTTAAATTAAAACGCTTTTCGTCTGAGAAGATAACTTTTCTCCACTTTTTTTTTCCATTGGAGATATCTTTCCGCAAAATCTTCCCTGGGTGCTTTGTATCTATTCGTAAGTGGCGGCTTTTTTCTGCAATTTTCGTCTTTTTAAATGTTTGGCGCGTTTAATTATTCATTGCACATTGCGAATGTTGGTGTTAACGCCAGCTTTAGCTGCAATTTGCTGTGCTGTCAAACTAGAATTTGACGCTACCCTGAGAATGGTTCGTCGTCGTCGCTCGGTAGTCACTTTTGGACGTCCACCAATATGTTTTTTTCCATAATGCTCCCTACTTTTTAAATAATTGAACACGGCACATCGACTTCGCCCAATTACTCTTGAAATTTCTGAAATAGAAGTATTCTTTTCTTTTAAATTTAAGATCACTCTTATTTCACTGTCTGTCAACTTTTTTCCACGTGGCATTGTAGTTAAGAACAAAGTTACTGTTCAAATATGCAACCACATCTACCAAGGGTTAACAGACTATACTTTAGCACACCGAGAGCGCCTGGTGTGCCACGGAATACGAATATGAGAATTCAATTCTTTTTACGTTTCATCGATCTGAGCGGTTGCACTGTTTCATTATCACAATATTCTGTATCATATTTGGCTTATTAAATAAACATTTATTTAAAAGGTCAACAATTACAAATGTTCAATTTTAAGTATACAATTACTTCTAACACTGTGACTGTGATTAGAGCATAAGATCGACCGACGAAAAGCTACTGTCTTATAGTTTTGTCGCGAAGAGAATAGCATGTTTACATATATTCTACAAGTTCTTGGAATTGTAGCCTTCGATGTTTCATAAAACTGTAGAATATACTTTAATATGATGTGAACAATAACATTATGAATGAAGGAAGACAAAACTCAAGACTTATATAGAATTTTAACCCGCTCTTCCTACAATTCAAGAACCGTTCCTTCGTGGTTAGTATGGGTTGCAGTAATCTGCCCTTCATTAACCGGGTTTGGGTTAGGGTTCAGCAGCGGTTCGAATCCCTGATATCTTCATATGTCTTTCTTTGACACATTCACAGTGTCAAAGTAAGACGAATCTAATCGAAAGCTTTGCAAATCGTCACGGAGAGCCTCTCCCAAATAATTTCCCGCGGAATGTGGAAAATGCTGCGGTGCTTCCGGTCGGCGTTCTCGCGATGTTTGTCGCGAAACTTGTCGCCAATTTGCGATAAACGTCCGTGACACGAACTCGGGACGGCCATTGTGTTCGATTCAATTTCCTACGGATGCGATAATTCGCTCGCGAATTCTCGGCACAAAGGAACAACGCATCGATTACAGTCTCGAGGACAACTGCTGGTGATCGTTTGAAATGGAGTGCATGCGTAGTTGGTCCACTTGAAACGGGAATAATAATTGGGGAGTATCTGAAAAACACTGGAGAGAGAGAAAATGGACCCATAAAGGTAATAAAAGCAAAATATTTTTACTATCGTTAATGGAAAGGAAAGAAGGTATTGTTCGGGCTTCTCAGAGCCACAAGGAGTATACAAAACCGTCTAAATGGAAAGATTTCTACTATTTTTTAATCCAAAGGGAAGGAGAGAGAAAAGAGAATAGAGAAAAGAAAGACGAGAAGTAATTATTCAGGTTTCTCAGAGCCTGTTGCTTTCATTCGTTACCGAAAGCGCTCCGCGTGTATGTTTACTTAGGATAATTATTCAGAAGTAATTTAAAAGAGTGCATAGCGCAGATGGAAAATAAAAATCTCCGAAATGCAACGCGTAAATAATTTTCAGCGAGCTTACTTACTTGGACAACACACGTTGTGTTTTAGCAGTTTTGCATTCGGATATAATCCAAATAATGGGATGGTAAAATTATGAGTCTCTTACCTGCAACAGAAATTAAAAATAAATAATTAATGATATTTAAAGGCAATCCATTATAATAGAATGAGTTAAGAAATTGTAAGGAAAATATCCATGTTGAATAATTAAGGAAATCGTGGATAAACTAGTTCGATAGGTGTGTGAAAGATTGAAATTTAAAAATTCTAACAAGCTTATAATTTATTTATTTCTATTATATACAACCCCGTTCAGAAGTATGTGGACACTTGCTTAACAGAAATAAATATCTAATACAAGTTGGGAATCTATTAATATGAATTATATCATTTATCTTTCGATATGTTTATGTTGTATTAGCGAATATATTTTATTAATAGATTTTTCTAATATCATATTAGTAGACTGCGGATCTTTATGCATTTATAGGAAATTTGAATGTGCAAGAACCTACAAAATGCACACGATATACAAGAATATAAAAAAGCTTGAAAGTAATGTTCGTGTTATAATATTTGAAAATAAAATAAATTCTTATTTAGGTTCAATTTTTGTAGGCACGTTCGCGAAGATTTTATTTTGCATAAAGATCCGCAGTTTACACATTAGTAATGATCAAAACTATAGAGATAACTAGATAATGTTAAAATTTCTTTTACCAAACTTGGATACTATTAATTTCTTCATTGGATCTGAAGTAATATTATCTCATTTATTTTGTAATATTTCCCCATAAATGTTTTTGATATATTCAAGATTCTTTTGAAACTTTTCTATCTAAACGAACCCATAGTTCTACTATAAAATTAAATACGGCAGTCAAAACATATAATATTATTAAATGTTGTTAAATACATATCCAATATAGAATTTAGCAACAAAAGTTGTATAGTAATAATTTACGAGGTATATCAATTATTCAAAACGAAAGTGGTACCTGTTCACATATTTATGAGCGAGAGTGTACCTATAAAACATTGAAAACACTAAACAACAATTGTATCCTCTGGCTTGTATCCCTGTATCCTTCCGTATAATTAGAAGTAAAGGAGAGGTAGAAAACGGTTATAGAAAGGAATACAAAAGAATTACGTCGGTCAACAGTCTGTGTCTATAAAACGTACTTTAGAATTAAATTACAAACGACGAACTCGTCTGGAAAACAACGAACGTAAAAGAGAAATAAGAAAACTACCGAAGATCTCCAGATGGGATCTCTAAATCCAGTTTAAGCATGTTAAGCTTAGTTTATTATTTAAGAAAACGACTGAACGAAGCAGTTCCATTACTCTTATAATTAGATTGCAAATTTTATTCATTTTCGATACAAGTTAATATACGTGCTGAACGTAACCAAAAGATACACGTACTTGTGCAAAACAAAATAATAATATTATTATCTTGGTTGTAGAATATATTCAATATATATTGCGTATTTTTTTTTTGAGTATTTTCAAATTATTGTACGGCATAAGTAACAGATGTTGAATATATTCTACAATTAATATAACAATATTACTATTTTGTTTTACGTAAGTGCAAATACTTTTTGGTCACATTTAACACGTTTATTTATTATATTAGTTCATATTATCCTTGTATTTCCTATTATACTTGTTATTTTATGATGAAAATTAGCAGAAGTATTAACCGAAGTATCTACCTTTAACAAACATATATAAGACATTTATATTAAAGATTCCATGAAGTCAGAAAAAAATTAGATATGGAAATTTCTGTCCTACAAAAACGTGTTTCCCTTCAATGAAGATTCCAACGAGAATTTTCGCTGCTTGCGTGCATTTTCCACTCGTAATCAAAAGAAAACTCGGCGTCACGAAACCCTTTTTATACAAGCTGCTCTTTGCAACTTGGATGCGTCGATCCACTGGCGAGGTCTCGAGCCTACCGCGGCCTCGAACCCTTATTTTTCGATGTGGAAGAGATGCGATGCAAAATCCACGAGGAATAGTTCTCCATCTTGATCCATCGCCCTCCCGACGCGTATTCTGGATTTACCGAAAGAATGAGCACCCGCTGAACCGAAACGCCACCGTTCCTGTTTCAACGACGCTCCAGGAATTCTCTCCGACCTATCCAGCCGCTCCGAATTACTTTATCATGAATATTAAATAGGGTTGATGATATTGAATCAAGGAGAAGAATTGAATTATATTCAAAAGGGAAGTTATATATTTTTTAAGTAATTTCACGTTTAATTTTCATTCCATTTCTGTTTCTACATCTCTGTATTTTATTTCGTCGCTATACCAGGGTAAAAGCGGAGAAACTAAATTATATTAATAAGAGATGTTATTTAATTTTCAAGTAATTGCACCTGTAATTTTAATTCCATTTCTATTATATTTTATTTCATTGCTGTACTAGGGTAAAGAAAAAAATTATATTGCATTATATAAGAATGTCATTTATTCTCCAAGTAATTTACATGTAATTTCCTTTTGTTCCTAACGAAGTGTTTAACCTTTTCAGCGATGGCGACCTTACGGCTCGGCTGGCTCTCATCGACTTTTCTACTGTTTCTATATCGAGTAGCATCGATTAAAGAAAAAATATCCATATCCATGCAGGGCGGAATTTTCTAGTTTCTTCTAAGGGTCGAAGCAAAGTGTTTCTGTTTGGAAATTGCCAGTTATGCGTCCAATTGAATCAACAGCCTGCAGTCCATTACACAGAGAAGTTTAATTTATCCAAGTGATTCGACCTGCATTTTACTGGTCCCTTCTGGTACGTTCCACTACACATATGACATAAAAAAAAATATATATATATTTATTATTATATTATTATATTATTTATATATATATTATTATATATTATATTATTTATATATATATATAAATTTCTTTATAATTTACCCCTTCAAAAAGAAACCGTTGCAAAAATCTCGGTAAGTGCAACCAGTATAAAGTTATAAGCTGACAAAGTTGAAATCATGCAAATGTATTTGTATCTCTGAATTTTCAACGTATCTTTTAACCCTTTGCACTCGAGAGGTGACTCTCACAATCAGTCACCACTAGGTTTTCTTTAGGTTTAATTTCTTTGGAACTCGAAGTGCCAATAAAATGATTGTCGTTGAGGCAAAGGTGTCCTGATTCTCAAATCTCAAATTAGAGATCTCATTCGAGAAGTCAATATAAATTCATTCTATTGCCACGAATGCTAAAAAAGCATCTAGAGTTGCTGGTAGATCCCAGAAAAAAAGGCCTCGAGTGCAAAGGGTTAAATCTATATAATTGCAACTTTACCAGCTTATAACTGTATACATGTTACACTTACTGAGAATAGAAATAGGTAGCTGACATATTTTGAGAATATATTTTTAGTTACTTCGAATTATTTGAGGCCCTGAAAGCATTACGATACTAAAGACACCTTAATGTCCCCCCTGATTAAATTACGTAAATTGCTCGTCGCTGACTGAATCGAAAACAAGACGTAGGCGTTCGCGTGGGAGTCCTCGCGTACCGCGAGGAAACCTTCGCAGCGAAACGGCAGAGGATTACCGTCGAATTTCGCGATTAATAAGACGCGATAAGGGGTAATTAGGCGGCCCGAAGGCAACCGATTGATCGAAGCGAGCAACGAAAAAGAAAATTGAACTTCTAATGCAGGCATAACGAGGCGGTCGACGAACGCCACGCGCGAGAGCGGCTCGATAACGAATGGCTCGCGGCCAGGGAATGCAAAACAGCTGTTTCGCGTACGGTCGAACTTAATTAACCGTCGGCGTTAATTCGTTGAAACTGCGACAGCGGTTATCGAACGGGGGATTAATAGCGCCACCAATTATCATTCTCGAGAACGTTTTCTAATTGCGTTAGAACGTCTCTGAATTGGCAATTAAGCGGTCAGAGAGGCTCCGACGTTGTTTCCAAACTGAAACTTCGACGATCCACAGTCATTGGCGGGAGCGAACGACCAGCACGTATTACACAGGGCCTTGAAAAAGAAAGGGTCCCATTGTCTCTTTATTAATAACTTCTACTGTACTCTAAAGAAAGTATTTATTTTCGAAAGATTCTTTCATTAATTTTGAACTTTCAAAGAAAAATCAGGCTATATTTAAGCCGTTTATTGCACGAATCGATTAACTCCGTAAAAGAAAAAGTTGAGAAATGCGATGTAATAATGTTGGTCGTTTAATGGTGTTAATCTTTATTATTCAGAAAAATTATGACTATACCAAGTGCTTTGACACTTAACAAGATTTTTAAAAAAAGTGGAGTTAATCGATTCGTGCAGTCCACGGCTCATTTGCAATCATCGTTTATAATCGTTATGTTTGTATACTTTGTAAATAGGTGCAAATATTAAGTGGACATTAAAAGAAAAAGAATACAAAATCATCGATGAAGAAAACGGCATTCCTCCACCTTATTCCTTCGGAATCAGAATTTTGTCCCACCCATCGGCACCCAGGGGAAGCAAAATTCCTCGTGTAATCGCAACGAACGGTTCGTTTCGCCGATTGCAGCAATTCGTTGGTAACAATAGCGTTGGATTCGTCTGGTGACCACTCCAGAAACCCATTACCCTTCCAGAAACGAAAACGAGAAGGTATCTGGGAAAAGCTATTACGCGGACGGTTTCACTGGGACCCAGGTATCGGTCACGGATGATCCCCGTTTGCCCGATCGGAATGGACCAGGGAAGATTGATAACGTACAAGCATCGCGCGGAAGACACAGACACAGGATTCGAAGTGGGATCGTCGTTGGCCTAAATAGCAGCGAGGCTTGACGTTAATTTAACGGCACCCGGGTGAGCAGGTGGATGTTTCAATATGTTGAACGGGGATAGGATCTCTATACCTTCAGGCGCGGAACAAAACCGTGGCCCTACTCTTGTGCCAAAGTCCCCGGTATCGTGATTAAACCAGCGCGAAACCCTCGGGGAAACGTTGGATCTACGTCTACAAAATGACATAGAAAATGGTCCGTAAATGTGGATCCGTGGATAATGGACCGCATGAATGCGCCCGCTGTTCGATCCCAATTCCGCATCGGGAACCTATCCAGGTGGATTTCGAGATGCTTTCAAAAGTTATTCGGTAGATAGATTGGGAATGGACGAAATCTGAATGAAAAATTTCGCGTGGGCTGTGAATTGACTCGGCGATAAGAAAAATCGATTCAATTTAATTTCACACGTTCATCGTCACGTCACCCACATACACTCATCCATAAAAGCATTCAAACAATTATATTAATAATTTATAAGTTTAAGCATAGTTCATTGTAATATTGTTTATAATAAAAAATACATGTAAGTAGAATTTGTTAATAATTAGAATAAGAATTAAGACGTAAGCAGAATATTATGAGTAGTATATATTTCGTACTTAAGCACGTATATGTTTAGTAGTAAGCCAAAAGAATGTTTGCGATAGTGTAAGAATGGAATGATGCCTGAAAAACAATAAGACTGCATAGATACCCGAAAATTACAGAATGCATGTACTGCGATGTGATTTAGAAATAAGCAACCGTGTAATAATATTATAATTGTAAAAAGATACTCTCTTCAATAAAGAACTGAACTGGACTGAATGTAGCAAATTTCTTTCGTGCCACCTCTTACCATGTAATATTCTCCTAATACCAAAACGTAAAATCCGTCAAAATTAAATCCTTACCAAAGATTCCTCATGCCACCTCCTCGCATATCATGTGCTCCTGATACCAAAACGTAAAATCGGCCAGAATCTCGACATCTACCGAAAGTATGGCCCCTTGAATTAGGCAACCCGTATTTACAGAGCTGTCGGACCGATTGCCTGCTTGTAAGCGCAAACGTGCCACCTCCTCGCATATCATGTGCTCCTGATACCAGAATTAAAAATCGGCCAGAATTCCAATACTTACCGAAAGAGGTGCCCCTTAAACTAGGCAACCAATACTTACAAATATGTCGGACCGGTTGCCTGCGTGTAGGCGCAAACGTGCCACCTCTTCGCGCATCATGTGCTCCTGATACCAAAATGCAAAATCAGCCAGAATTCCGAAATGTCCCGAAAATTAGTCCCTTCAGTTGGGCAACCTGTAGTGGCAGATCTGTCGAGCCGGTTGCTTGATCGTAGGCGCAAACGTGCCACCTCTTCGAATATCA